TATATATATATATATATATATATAATTAAATAATATTGATATAACTTTTATCAACTATTATATCATTTAATAATTTTATATTAAAAAAGAATTTTGTGATTTATCAATTTAATTGTTGATTAAATTTATGCTAAATCTTATTAAAATTGAATAATTAAAAATATTCAAATCATTTATATTTTAATATATTTTAAAACATTTATATATTACGTCAAGTTTGATTTATATGAATATGGTATCAAATTATTCATATTCCTCGACACACTCTACTCCACACACCTCCTAAACCAATAACTATAGCACAAAGACTCTCATCATGTATACTTCATGTACAAGATTTTGTGTGGCACTTTATCTCATGGATTCAACTCATATTCATCTCATTCTTTTAACATAGCATCTTCTTGTAAATCTCATGTACAAACATCATCATTGTTTCCTTTTTGGGTGATTTTAACAGAATTGTAAGGCTAACATCAAAGGCTAAAATTATCATGAAAGTTACAAAACCTAATTTGGTCATTTGAGTCTTCTTACAATGCTTATAACATACGCAAGTTACATTTTACACACAGAACAATAGGTAATTCATCTTGTAACTCACATAACTCTATTAATCTTTAACATTTTTTTTTTGTAATTTTTGAGTCTAAACTATCTCTCCAAATGTATACTTTCTAACTTAATAATTGGAACTCAATTTGATTAATCTTACATATAAATTACACAAATACCAAAGTATGTTCATATTAGAATTTTTAGATCAAAGCACAACTCACACCCAAACTCACTACTCTTAATCCAATTGGTAAAAACATATATTAAGGACTAAAATTACTATATTATACTATCAATTACTCAATTTCAACATTAATTTCAATTTTTCATACAATTAACATCAATCTTCGCCTTACTCTATAAATCAATGGTTTCCTATAGAAACTACAGATTCCCAAACAATTCAAATTATATGAAATTAATTATACATATAATTCAAACATCACATATAATGCATATAATTACATACTCATCAACTTCTCATTCTATCACCAAAAATGCATTCTCTCCATTGGAACCCACGAACAATCCAAGATTCATAAAATTAGTTTGATACTCAAAAGTAAACATACATGTACTTTCAAGACATTAATTAGAGTACTAAAAAATCACATGGAAGACAAAAATATAGTACAAATCACAATTTGAGATTTTTCCTTCGTTTCATCATACAGCAGAAAAGAGATTGAGACTCAATCTCAGTATCCAACAATTATCCTACACCTAAAATGAGATTACTCACGATTCCTTACCTTGATGGATGTCAAATGTTGGGTGCGAATCTCTGAGATTGTCTCTAGTTGCCTCTGGCTCTCCCTCCTCGTTAGATCACAAGAGCACACGATAATGAGTAATGTGAGATAACCCTAGCCTTACTAATGTATTTATATAAGGAAATACCAAACCCTATCGCATATGTAACATGTTAGTAAAAGTCTGATATACGCTATCAATTATTCCTCTCTTGAAATTCAAACAATTATCTATAATGATTAAACTAGAAAATATTCTTTTATCAATGACTCTCATTATCAGCATAATTCAAATTAATTAAATTAAAAATCTAATAGATAAATACATAAGATAATATCTCTTTAAATAAAATGATTCTGAAATCTTTATTTTTCTTATCTAGAAACATTCTTATCAATAAAATCTCTCCATTAATCAAATTTTAATATTTGTACTTATAATTGTTTGTTGTAGGTAAGATCTACAAAGATCATTCATGAGTAAATTATTTTTCTCACTTACATGAGAGGCTTTTTTTAATTAACAAATCTTGTTTAAACGTGAAATTATAAATAATTGTTTGTTGTAGGTAAGATCTACAAAGATCATTCACGAGTAAATTATTTTTCCCACTTACATGAGAGGCTTTTTTTTAATTAACAATCTTGTTTAAACGTGAAATTATAAAGAAACTTAGTGTAAACAATACTTCTTTTGAACTTAATTGTGAAAGGGTTATGGTCTATATAAGAGGCAGTAAAAATATTTGTACAAGTGTTTGGTGATTTAGTGAAAATCCTTCTAATGTAAGAAATAGACGTAGTTCTTAGATTTAAGAGTGAATTGGGTTATTTGTTGGCTATTCTTCTTCAACCCTTTTGATTCAATTATTGTCTTTTATTTTTAAAATTCGTTTTGTTTCTATTTTTTTCAATAAACTTGATTTAAATCACATTTTTAAACAATTTAAAAAAAAAATCAAAAGTTATTGCGAGCAAAAATCAACTCCCTACTGTGTCTACCTTATTTATTTCACCTAAATCACCAAATTTGTACGTAATAATTAAAAGAAAAATGGTAAAATTAAATTCTCATTTAAAGCTTGAAGATATAATATCAAATGAACTATTTTTTTTACATAAATAGACAAAATATGATTTTATTGTTGCGTTATTATGCTTTGAAATTAATTAATTGTATGGTTGTATATATAAATGTAATTAATTAAATATATTATTCTTGTGAAGTAGGTAAGTACTCTTATAGTTTTCGAGAAGTTAGGATAATATTAAGGAGGATTTCATTCACTATTAATATTTTTCATCATTTCTTCTTGTTTCCATTCCTTAGGACTTGTTAATTAGGAAGCTTTAACACCAGTTGGACTAATTATGGCTCATCATTAATCTTAAAAAGTAGAATATAAGTAGTTATATGAAAAAGTAATTACATGTTATTCTTAATATTTATGTTATCTATTAATTCACTTTCTTGTTAGTTATTTATCACAATGTTTGTAGGTCCTCATTCAAGATTACGGGAGGATGAGTTAGTGGAACTAACTTGTTTTCTGCAAAGATACACATGCATTTGGAAATCATGGATTTTTTTTATATACCCTTTAACTTGTTTATAACCCTTAATGTAGGACTTATTCTTCAATTCCCTTCTAAAAATTTGAATTAATGAAATTATGTACCAAATGAAGTATTTTAATTTTTCTTATAATAATCGTTTCTTTAAATATTATATAGTAGCCTCAAGTGGTAGACGGAAATACATAATCTTTCCAATTGAAAAATATGGAAGGTGACATAATTGCATCATGGGATAAAAATATTGGATTTAAAAAAAACAAAAAAGAATGCAATTAAAATACGATATATTATAATAAAATAAAATTCACATTATGCAGATAAATGGACTTGGCACCTGCATAATTGGATCTAGCAGAAGAACTTTAGCAAGAATTAAGATGATAACTAGATTCTTTAAACCGTGTTTATCTTAAAAGAATCTTCAGATTTAGATGACTAGGACAGGAAAAGTTGAATTTTAAAATGTATCTAGATAAAACGTAAAAAAGGTTTGTTGCCTACTAAATAAGCATGATCGAGTATCAAATATTCACAAACTAAACTATTAATTAAAATTTTTAGTGGACATGATCCAGTATTACTCAATGAATTAATATTGGAGTGTGTACATATAAATGCAAATTTATGGCCAGTATCATTACTCGAGTTATTTTGTTTATACATTTACTCAAGTTATTTAAATAAACTGATTAAGTGTCTAATTAAAGTTATTCCGGTGCTCTATAGAATAAGATCAATAAATAAAAAGATAGTGAGTTCAATGAGGTTAATGGCATCATAAATAAATAAAAAAGAGTTCATGACTAGAACCCAGCAAAAAATAATATTGGATTGAGATTTTATATAATTTTTTTAAAGTATAAAAAAGTCTTATAAATTTTAAAATACTTTGTAAAAATATAATAATTTTAAAGATTTTTTTAAAAGAATTTTTAATCAAATTTTTTTAATATAAATCTTAATAGGTTTGTATATTACAAATTTATAAGATTTTAAAGGACAATATGAGTTTTTAAAAAATGATACAATTTCTCTAAATACATAAATAACAAGTTTAAATAAGAAAAATAAAATAAATAAATTTTTCAATCTTTTAATAAATACTTTATTCTAGTTTCATATTCTCTTAGTAATAACATTTCTCTACATATAGTTTTTTATGTATTTATATTTTCTTATTAGTACTATTAAATTTGAATAATATGTTCAAATTTATGATATTTATTAATGGATATAATTGTTAAAATATATTTTTAATATATGTTTAAAAAATGATATTTAGTATTAAATTTTATTAAAAATAAACCTTTTTTAAATTTAAATTATTTTAAAATTTAACAATATATATTATTTAATAATTCAAAAATAATTTTAAATATTTAATAATTAAAAAAATATTCATAATGATACATCGATTGATAGATAAAAGGTTAACCAAAAAAGAAGGTTGGCACATCACCCGGACAATTGGGTCAACTCCATCTCCTTAGTTATCTTTTGAACTACTGATATCATGGCCAGCTTATTATGTTATTTATGGACATAAGAATCATGCTGTGTATTTTGAAATTAATCCCGATTAGTTATTAATGCTCTGACTCCACAACAAAAATACCCATCGTAACTTGTATTTGCTATCAAATATTATTTGACAAAATAATTTCAGCTCTTAACAAATTTTTTAATGTAAATATAAAGTAATTTATTTTATGTGTTTAAAAAGGGTAAAAAGAAAACCAAGAAAAGTATTCCTTTGAAACATATATCATCTGCCTAAAATATACATGTAAAGGATGACAAGAAGTATTGCACTATTCCTTTTCTTATCTCTATTGCTATGCTGTGGGCTAATCCATCTCACATAATAATAATACCTTTTGACCTTCTGTCAATCAAAGAAGATATAGTCTCCACCAGAGTCAATTTACTGTTGATTATTCAACGTGATATCATGGACTTGGATGTTGTAAGAAAAAATGGACAAACATCTGATAGAACATTGTTGCTGATTAAAGTAAGAATTGCTTTTTGTCATGGACTTGGATAGTCCCATTTGAGTTATATGAAGATTAAATCATTTGTACTTATCTTCATCATCAATTTTTGTTATAATTATAACTGCTCTTAACTTATAATTTTTTATTTTTTAAAAATTTATGTAGTATATTAGCTAATTAATTTATTAAATGAGAAATTATCTATTTATGATCTTGCAATTATTTATAGTTTCTTGATAGATGTTCAACTTGTGTTTCTGTGACTAGATTTCAATGGTAGCTGGTAGTAAAAAAGGGAGTGAACTATTGATCAATGACTACCATTCTCGATCCTTACTAATCATAATTTCTGGTCTTAATTATACAGCTCGGTTCAGGATTTGCAATTGCTGAAAATGAAATTATGCTGTCTGCTAACATTGACTTATCGAAGTTGTTCAATGACTGCAAGGAGTACATAGTTACCACCTGTCAAAGCAACAAATTCAATGAGAAAGTCGATGAACTTGTTCAGGTGAGTACCAATACACTAAAGTGCCTAATCTACGAAGTTATATTGTAGCTCCAATATCCTTTTGAAACCTTTATAATATTGAATCTCACCTTAACGAATAAATTTCCAGTCCTCCGGTAATATATAATCTTCCGACTATAAATTGACAACTGACTTTGTATGGTAATTTTTCCCTGTTTTAACTTTTTTAAAGTAAAATAAAGAAAAATTAATTGCAAGAGAATTGGTACTATTGGAGTGCTGAAAATTTGCTCCTTAAGTAAATGGTCAAATTGTAACCAGTGGAGTGAACTCTAATATTGCTTCATTCATCTTTTGAAGAGGCCATTAACTAAATAAAGGGAAATTTAGGGCTGATCAAATTTTGTGAGACTTTGTACCTTTTACCAATTGAAATATTTAATTTCCCTATTTTAGTGTTTGGGTTTATTGTGCTACTTGATGCATCCTGTGCCTGTCCATATGAGGATGAAAAATTAATTACTTTGAAGTTTAGACTGATTATAATGATATTGGGGTCTTGATAGTTTTTCATGTGCAACTATTTAATAGTGACTTCAATCCAAGAAAGAAAATTAATGGTCATGTCCCTCTGTAGATGTATGAAATGGTGGAGACAATGTTGTTGAATCCAGATGAGGCATTGAAGACGATGAATCACCTGGAAGAATCAACCATGACTACCAGTGAAACAAAGCGTCGGTTGTGTACCGGTGAACCAAAACACCAGTTTAAGAGACTTAACCATATCTTTGGTGGCAAAGATAAACTATTGACAAGGCCTGTCTGGAAAGATGAGGTAAATGAAGAAGAAAAGCCGAGTCGACATTCTTTTTCAAGTTTCCTTGACAGCAAGTCATCTTTATTTTCAAAGAAGCCTCCTAAGCCTGGAAACCTATACCCTTCTGAGCATCCTTCCTTTCTGGAACGTGATTGGACGATTGTTTAAGCTAAATTCAGCTTCACCCTGTTTAGGACCAGGAACATACTTTTTTGTTTTTTTTCTCCCCCTTTCCTCCAGCCAGATAACTGTAAAGTAATTCCTTCATTCTTTTTTCATCTCTTAATTAGTGAATAGCAATTTTTAATGTATTATGGAATACCCCAATTATTCCTATAATCAGTTTTCTTGTTTAGCTTTGCTTGTTGTGGAGGGCTTGTACAAGGATGATCTGTCAAAATAGTAAAGTGTTCATTACTGCTTTTGCATCATGGTCATATTCTCAAGAGAACACTTGCCAGGTTTTTCTAGCAGCAGGTTCTCCATGCACCAAAATTGTCGGTCTTATTTTTAAGCTAAATGTATCCTTTGGATTAGTAACAATTTGGTTTACTCTGATGATTCAAATGCTTGAGCAACGATACGGTGACAACTGGAATTGATGTTTCTGTTGATTATATAGAACATAGACAATAACCATAGTTGATTGTAGGAATGAATTGACCATTACTTTAAAATTGGATGGAATGATCAATCATTTCTTGTTGCTACCAAATAAAATTTTATTTCATTTCATTTCCTTCAATTCATTCTTGTCGAAACTCAAAAAACACCTTGTTCCGGGTTTGTAGTCTATGACCAAAAAACCTCATTATATGATGGCCTAATGACCAAAAACCCTGTAGCGAGAAACAAATAGCAGCTGGATGGAGCACTCTACGCCAAGCAGGTGCGAGGTACCAAATAATAATTAACAAATATCGTGTAACGAAAAAAAAAGTAAAGAATCGTGGGAGAATATAGGAGACCCTGAGAGAGACTCTAAGATAGCTCACAACTCTTACTGTTAATACCTAATTCTCAACGTCCGTAAAGGTTGATGGGTGTCAAATTAAGATATACTTTTTCTTAGGAAACAATTTGGTAAAGTGGAGAGTAATCCAATCTAAAATAATTGCTAAAACTTTACTTCTTTTATGAAATTAAAAACAATGATAAGGTAAGAAAGGAGTTCAATTAGGCAATTGAATCGAAAGAAATCAATAATTTAAACAATGTGCAAATAAAAAGAATTTGTGAAAATTCATTAATTGGAGAACTCTATCACAATTTGTAATATAAGCTGAAGCTGTAGTTTTCTAACGTAATCATGGAGAATTTTTTTTTGGATCCATAACCATGGGCTCTAAAAATACACATTTTCTCTTCTAAATAAATTAATTATAATTATGGTTAGTAATCAAGAAAAGATCAATGACTACTCTTATTGACGTTGGAACCAAAGGCATGGAAACATTAAAAAAATTATATCAAGAACTTTGAAAAAAAAGTTTTTGATGAACTATTTAAAAAAAAAAATCGAAGTGTCCAATGACATTGTTCAAAGATAGTCCAATGATATATATAGTATATATATATATATATATATATATATATATATATATATATATATATATATATGGGAATGTTAATATATTCCCATCTATTTTTTAGTTGGAGTATGTTAGCAACCTACACCAAAATTTTAGGACAAGAAAGTCACTCATTTCTTTTGATTTGGTTAATTTATATAAAGGATATTTATATGAGAGATGAGAGAAAAATGAGTTAAAGAACGAATTCAATAGGAGAGAGATAAATGAGTTAAAAAAAATTTAATATGAGAGAGATAAATGAGTTAGAGAAGATATTTAATAAGAAAGATAAATGAGTTGGAGAAGGAATTTAATAGGAGAGAGAAATGACTTATTTTCTTTTAAAATTAAATTAAATTATTATAATATCCTTTATACAAATTAATCAAATCAAAAGAAATGAGTGATTTTCTTATCCTAAAGTTTTGGTGTAGGTTGCTAATATATTCCAACTAAAAAATAGGTGGGAGTATATTAGCATTTTTCATATATATATATGGGTTAATCACTTATACACTATCAGTGTAAAGTTTTTTTACACTGATAACTTATCATATATTTTAATAGTGTCATGTCAATTGCTTATTTAATGAAATAAAGATAAAATAAAAATTTAAAAATTTTGATTGGTTGTCGGTGTAAAAAACTTTACACTGGAAGATTAACTATATATATATATAATTTGTATATCTTTATACATACAACTAATGCATACACATTCATTTTGAAAAAGAATAGTGTTTGTTAGTTTGTCTTACGCTAAAAAAAAGTAAGTTAACTATGAGTTAGTCACACTTTTATGACAAAGAAACAAAAAGAAAAGCATTTTGTAAATGTTTATCTAGAAATGGTTTTTGTGCACAGTCATAACCTGCAAATGCAATTGTAACATAGTTCTCTCTCCTACTCAACACAAAAGGGCAAAGGCACCTGATGTACCTCCCTAAGACGTGCAAAAAGAATGCACTTACATAAATGCTTTGTCCTTGTGCACTTACAAAAACCCTTACAAAAAGAATGCCCTACTCAACCTGATGTGTTTGAGAATATTTGTTTTGTACTCAGTAATTGAGTAGTGAGTTCCTTCATTAAAAAATTGAATTGAACATAACTCTTGAGTAAAAAGTAAACTAGCATAAATTTACATGTGCTTTTCTTTTTCTTACTCTTTATGCTTTATACACTTTGTCCATTTCTTATATTTAGCTAACGCATTTAACTAACTTGGATTGAAAAAGTTTTATGACCATAGCTGACATAGAAAATGGATACTAGAGATTTCATAACATCACATTTGGCAGATATTTGACCCACATAAAAAAAATGTAGACTTTTTATTTCGCATAAATCTATGAAAATTCTAGATCTGTCATAAGAAATTTCATCTAGAATAATAAATACTAATTTGTAAATAAAAGGAATAAAAATTATTTTTCCTCTTCTCCCCTGTCTTCTATTAAACAAAAAAAAAGGCTCATTATTCTTAATTATACTTAATTATTCTAAGAGTAAATTTGTTTAAATTTATTTCACTCAATTTTATATTAAATTTCAATAATCCAGCCATTGAATTAAATGTTTCTTAATACATAGACCAACACTATTACATTTTAATTCTTTAGCAATATTTTTTCTTTCTTACATTTGTTAAAATATTACTATATATTGAATAAATAGGTTATTTTGCAATTTTATTTAAAATGTTATTATAGATAGAATAATTTTTTTTTATTTGAATATTATTTTTTTCAATTATTTTCAAAATCAAAGTCCTATATCGAGTGAAAAAATATGGCACATATGTTATTTTACAACATGCTTTTAAAAAATGTTACTCCAGACAAGTAATATTTTTTTTAATCTCAACATTATTTTTTCTAATTGCTTCTAAAATCAAAGTCTCACATTGAGTAAAAGAAAACATATTTCTCTTATTTCTAATTATTATCCACAATTAAAATCTCATATTAAATAAATAAATGACTCATAAATAATATATAATCATATAGTTATATTTAAAGATAAATAAACTTTGATATTTGATATATAATTAGTAATGACTAATTAAGAATGTCTTCAACCTTCTTTTAAAAAACTCTTAGAAATTTAAGAGACATAAAAATATAATAATTGATAGCAATATCTAAATTAAAACTAATTATCATTTGTTAAAGTTAACAAAAACTTAGCAATATCATTAAAATGCTACAAAATATCACTTTTATAACATTTGAAAAATGTTGTATAATTGTATAAAAATGTTATTAAAAATATTTAAAAACATGGATTATACACAACATTTGATAATATGTTGCAAAAGTAATTAGCAACATTTATACACAATTAGGTAACATTTTTCAAATGTTAAAAACTCTTTGTGTTCTAGTGCAAGTCCAAATTTTTTTAAAGATTTTAAAAACTATTTGATATTTCATTTTATTAATTCAAATTAAAATATAAAATACTTTTATGATTATCAGTCAATTTTAATTAATAAAACAGAATATCAAATAATTTTTAAATTTTAAAAAAACTTACATATAATCTATATATTAAAAAGTTTTAATTCAATAGTTAAATCATTAAAATTTGAGTTATTGAATAAAATAAATTTATATATATCAACTATACCATTAATATTAAAATCAGTAAACTCGCTCTTATAGAACACAATCGGATTGTCCTACATACGTAGCTTAACAAATTGGTTTTCATTTTATGGCCAACTCATAAGATTTACAATCATTCCCCATCTGATTTTAGCTAGAACCTCACGAGTCAAATATCCAAATAATCCTCCTGTTTTTTTTAAGCTTCTCAAACTTTAATATCACTTTTGTCTACACAAGTAAAATTTTTTCTCTATCATATTAATTGTACCATCCTATTTTTTAAAAATAGAATAAATAAATACAATAATTAATTTATCTTAATTTTTTGAGCCAATTATTTAATTTGGTCTTTTAAAATTAATTTAAGAGTTCTTAGAAAAATAAAATAATTTGGGCTGAGTTGTTTCTTAACCTACTAATACTAAGGTAACAAATTTTGGACACTAAAAAGTGTAACCTATCACTTGAGTAGTCAGAAAGTTGGAGAGTATAATTCCTTGTTTTTTGATGCTTGTAAAGGAACCAAAAGAGTGAATTTCGGAGCAGACCAGGTAAGTGGGAAAACTATCTTGACATGTGTACGTGTAGGAATTATTGGTAGCATTCCTAAGCTAATTAAGTTTTTAATTGTGACAATAATTGAATTTAGAAAAAAGATTTCAGAAATTTTTTTAAAAATATCTTGAGAAAACAAGTTTTTTTTAAAAAATATCCTATTCATCCACATAAATAAGACCATTGCTTCAGCACAGTTTCTCTCGGATATTGAGAAGACTAGAAGGAGTGAAAAAGTGAATCTATTTTATTAAAATAGTTTAATTAAAACATCTATTCCTTTTATGAGTTAAACAAGGACCGATAAAGTTTGTGTTTGTTTTATTGTTAAAAATTTGTAAACTTATGTTGAATGGAAAAGATAGAAAAATGGATTTTACGTTTTTTTTTTGTTAAAAACATGGATTTCCAAACATGCTTGAGAGTTATTTTTCCTCTTCTCTCCTCTGTTAAACCAAACAATGCCTCTTCTCTAATTGTGTAACATATACATAAATATTTTTTTATATGATATTTAATGTTCAGAACTGTAGACTCCTCCCTCAGTAGAACATAATTGGATTGTCCTACGTAGCCTACCAAATTGGTTGCCAGAATGCATTTATGATGGCCAACTCATATTTTCCCCCTTTCCTCTCCAAGCATCCTCCGATCCCTCTGGAATTTACCTAGAAACTCAAATGAGTCAAATACCCCATCCTCCCTATTTTTACCTTCTTAAACTTTAATATATAATTTTTCTCTATATCATAAAAAATATCATTTTTTCTCAATACCAGTAAAAAAAAATCAAAACTTTAATAATCATTTTTCACTATATGAGCTATAAATAACAAAAAGCCAAATTGAAAAACTAAAGCGACATTCCAAACGCCCCCAAAATAATTTAACTTTTTTCCTCTCAAAATGTACTCTTTTTAAGGCTTCTCCAAAACTAAAAGCCACCCTCTCTGGGGTAAAAAAGAAAAACCTCATTCATGTACATCCAACAACATTTTTAGTTGAGACTCGATAGACCCTTTAAATTTGCGCTACAATTATGTGAATCACAAAAAACTCAGACTCTCCTAAGTCACTAGAAACCCATGAATATATAAAATGTGTATATATTTATATTTATAAAGAATGAAGGTGTCAGAGCAAGAGAGTTGTATTGAATATAAAGAATATTGAAACTGAAAAGCTGCATGTTGCAAGGGAGGCCCATGCAAAAAGAGATGAAAAGAGGAGTATCAACGTGAATATCCTTCTCTGACAATGAAGATAAGTTAGGTTAGGGTGGGGCCTTGAGACATGAGTGGTTGAGGTCTCTCTCTCTTTTCAAATAGTGGCAGTTGGAAGCATTTATGTATCCCAACGCGTTTGCATGGTTAAGAAGATGACTCAATTTAAAGCATGTTCGTATACATCCACAATAATTTAGGTCTTAATAACTCTCAAGTGTTTTAACTTTTAACCTTGTCTTCTTTATCTTTGGCCTTTGGGGAATTGCTATATAAACCCTACTCCATTCTCTTGCTCCTCACCAAATAGCCATCTTGGCCAAGTGACTTGGTTTTCTAGCACATTATGGCTTCTAGGGTTCTTCTTCTTCTTCTTCTTGGTGCCCTTGTTTGCACCATTGATGCAAGGAAGCTTGGGAGTGAGAAGGGTTCATTTAGGGATGAGAAGAACTTCTTTCACCATCCAGGGTTTGGAGGTGTAGGAGGAGGTGGTGGAGGTGGCTTTGGTGGTGGTGGAGGAGGAGGCTTAGGTGGTGGTGCTGGAGGAGGGTTTGGTGCGGGTGCTGGTGCTGGAGCCGGTGGCGGAGCCGGAGGAGGGTTTGGTGGCGGCGGCGGCGGCGGATTTGGCGGCGGAGGTGGAGTTGGTGGAGGATCAGGGTTTGGAGGAGGAGCAGGGTTTGGTAGTGGTGGTGGTGCCGGTGGTGGACTTGGAGGAGGTGGTGGAGGAGGGTTTGGAGGTGGCGGTGGCGGTGGACTCGGCGGTGGCGCCGGAGGAGGATTTGGAGGGGGAGCTGGTGGTGGAGTTGGAGCTGGTGGTGGATTTCCATGAAAATTGAAAACATTGCACTCTCCATATATATAAAAGAAGACATGCATGCTACATATTCTTATGTTTCGTACGTACTAATAATATGTAACTTTCATTTGTTCATGCACGTTGTTCACTTGTTTACTAGTACTTAAAACACTCAAGTGTCAATTGTCAATTGTCAAGTGGAAATAATTCTTGAATCGAATATATATATTATAAGCTCTTGTTAAGTGTTATTTTGCTTCCTCCCACTCTTCTTTAGCTCCATCCTTTGCTTCTGTAATTCCATGTGTCGGAAGATTCTGTAAACATGATAACATGTTGTAACCTTTTAATTTTTGAATCTGTCTCGAGTGAAAAAGTTAATGTTTGCGGAACACAACCGTCATAACGTGAAACACATAAACTCTTCTGGGCTCAAGTGTTTGACTACATGCAAAGTGAAAGGACAGTTAAAAACACAAAAGAGCATAGAGACCACAATGTGATCGTCTAGTTAAGATAACTAAAGCCACAACAAAACTAAATGGACCATTAACAATACTGAATTTAGGTATGTTTGGATAAATTCTTTTATAAAAAATCATAAGAAGGAGATTTTCTTTCTTTCTTTTTCTTAGTATGCCGAAGAAACTATAAGTTAATTATAATTTATAGAGAAACTAATTTTATTTTATTTTATTTATTTTCTTATAGATAATTTTGGAGAAGTTTATAAAAAAAATGTCCTTTATGTAGCAAACTTCTACTTCGTGGGTCCTAGTTTCAATAATGTTTGTGTTTTTAGAAAGACAAAAAATTTCATGTAGTAATTTTTAAGCTCCCGAGATGTTTTTTCCCCCCAAGTATTGCTTCCGTGCGTAATTAATGTTGATCTTCGATCAATGTAATTTTTTATTACGTAAAATATTAAGCATTGAGGTAAAATTTAATTTTTTATTAGAAATAATATTAAAAAATTGTTTCTATGTTTTATCATTTAAAAAAAAACGATGATTATACACTTAATATATGTCTACACTAAAGGAGTGAAAAAATATATGTAAAAGAGAAAAAATCTTAAAGAAAACGATAAATAATGTGATTTGACAAAAAATAAAATTAGAAAGAAGAAAAAACTAAAATAAAAGTAGAAGTATATTATATACATGTATGAATATTTTGTTGCTCTTTTAATTTTTCTTCTGGCCAGAAGGTGAGAAATGTTGAGACGAGACATTCATTGTCAAGCTAGCATAGCACGCATTTAATTCAACTATATTAAAATACATTCAGTTTCAGTTAAATGTTGAATTGATGTAGAATGTTGTTTTTAGATTGATCAAAAGATAACCGTGTTTTTGACATATTTATTATATTAATTAAAATTTATAATAAATCATTTATAAAAATAAATATTATAATAATTTATATTGTAATACAATATTATTTTATTTATTGATAATTTATTTTAAAATATTAATATTCAATTCATAAATAATTTGATAAATAAAAATCAAATTAAATAAAAAAATTAAAAAATTCCTAACTCTCTCGTAAAAAAAACTTAAAAACACTCTTATCCAATAACTATTTATGTTTAATATATACTAATATTTTAGTCAAGATAAGACAATGTTTATTATATATAAATAAAAATTATAATAAATTATATATACAAATAAATAAAATGTTTAAATATATAAATTATATTTAAAATTTGTATAAATTAATATTTTTAAACATAAATTATATTTTAGATTTATGAATTTTTTTCCTTTTAAAAAATACTATCATATATCTTTACATCTCATTAACGTAGCTTATGTCCTAATTTTTTTTTCCTTTAATTAATATCTCTTAAGCTTATATAAAGTCGATCATAAGTTAAAAATTCAGAGCCACCTTATTTTGTAATAAAAACAACGAATAATTCTTTGAAAATTATATATTGATGAAGTTAATTTCTAATTATAGTTGTGTAAATATTCTCTTAATGGGTAATAAAAAATAAATAAAATATACTTAGGTATAAGAAATGCACAATTTAATAGTTTTCTGATCAGCATTATTTTATCAAAATTTCAATAATTAATTTTGACAGTTAACTTTGCGTTTTTCCACAATTTACGCTTTATTTTATTAAAAGGAATGAAGTCCAAGAATCAACATCACATTCACACTCGATTTGAAAAAAAAAATGTCTATTTCAGGCAAAGGGTTATGATGTTAATATTTGCGATGAATACATAAAAAGATCGATGTTGGTGTGACACAAGCCGTTGCCATCAAAAGAGGAAGGTTGACCAAACATATGAAAATGAAATCTTATATAAAAAATACTATTTTTTTTACACCATAAAAAGAAAAATACTATAATGACTACTCATTGGGAGGAGGAGTTGAAGGTCACCAATACTAGGAGAAGAATACTGTATAGAAAAAAAATGGAATAATTAATTTTTAAATTTATGTATTATTAATTTAAAATAGTAAATATATTATTATATTAAATTTTAGTGTACTGAGTATTTTTTTTCATGAGAATTTTAGTATATTATTTTCAAGTTTTAGATCTTACATAAGAAGCAATAAAATTAGAATTGAACATAGAATTTTAATTATACACCTTCTTTCTTTGCTTAACTCAAGCATAAAATCTCGCTAAAAATAAGTAAAAGTAAACATAAAAAATATTACAAAAGTGGTATTGCCTTTATAATAATGTATATTCAAACTAGGTTAAAAAAATATTTATGTATATATTTATGTATGTACTTACGTATACACATATGTATGTATGTATGCATATATATATATGTATGTATATATCAGAATTTGTTGATACCATGTGTCAAATTAGTGAAATGATAACTTCAATAATTTTTAAAAAAATGTAAATTTAATGAATTCAATAATTATATTTGATGATATTACTAATTAGATAAAGTGTACAACGTTTCATACAATTCTAAAATTGTTTGATAGTTTATCTTATCACCATATATATATATATATATATCTATTTATCTATCTATTTTTTTCATTATATTTTTCAAAGGGGACTAATTGTCCAAACTAAAACTGACAAAAGAAAGATACAATAGAAAAGTCTACGAGCATCAAACACATGTATCACTTCTAATAAAGCAAGGCATCTTTTGGCAAAACAAATCTACCTTAGCTTTCCTAAGGACAAGAGCATAATCAATGTTATAATTGCCTCTTGCCATTTGGATCACAAGATTCACAAGGTTGTAGCATAGGTGATTCTAGAGACAACTTTCATTAAGGTATTTAACAACAATAGTTGAATCCGACTCCACTAAAATCTTCTCCATAACTCATGATAAATTAGCCTAAACCACTGAGCAGGAACCCAACTTACAAGAATAGGAAAATATGAAGTTCCATAGGTGATCACAAAGAATTCCTTCACAAGTCACACTTTGATCTTATGACACAACCCATCACAATTGAGCTTAACACATCCTGATGGGGTTTTACCCATTGATATGAGAACTTTGAGGATTATGGTATTTGAGGGGTTTACCACCATGAACTCCAACTCGAGAAATCTATAAGCTATGACTTTGTATCTCATAAGCCACTTGTTGGAAATTCATACCTGCATTCTAAAACACAAAGCAATTTCTCACCTTTCAAATCAAGTCAAGAGCCACCACTAAAACAATATTCCAATCCTTGTGGCTGACAAGTGATCCTTATAAATTGTCTTCCAACCACTGATTTAAACGTGTATTAAAGAAATAATTACCGAGCATACTTCTCAAAACACAGTGCCATATAACCTGTGCAAATTCCCTTTGCGAATTGGAAAAAAACCATTAAGGTTGGGCCCTTTATCTAGGCGCCACTCATTTGTACATAAGTTAGAGTGAGCCACACGCAATGTCAAACAATGGATATGCTCTAGCTCTAATCAATTCCAAATCAACTTAACAAATGAATGGGCCTCTAGTAATGTTAGTTTTGATTGTCTTGTAAGTAGATTTATAGGAAAAGTTCCCCTCTAAGGACCTTCCCCACACTAACAAGTCTTGTTTAATGTCAAGCAAAGGGGGAGATATTCCCATAATATCATGCCACATATATAGAATTAGGGATCAAATATTGGAAAAGCTCAATATTCCACCTCCCTTGATCATTCACATACTTAATAACTACTTTATGTAGCTCCTTAAATAAAATAGGTTGAGTAGAGATATCTAAAAGAATAGCACTCGAAGGCAACCAACAACTCAATCAAAACTTGATTTTTAATTTGTTGCTTAGTCACCACATAATTAATGGTCTATCAAACTCCCATGCATCATATAGTCATCGCCAATAATTTGATGCATTTGCCTGGTGTTAAAAAAAGATGATCTCCTTGCAACAATTATACTTAGGTTTCACCACCTTGACCCAAAGTTTATCTAGTTGGGTACAAACCTGTCAACAATTCTTCATCATGAATAATTTATTTACATGTCTTGTATCATGCAAACCAAGGCCTTTTTCCTCTTTTGGTTTATAGATTATAGGCTAGGTAACAACATGTATCTTTCTCTTTTCCCTTTTGTAACTCCATAGTAAACCTCTACACTTCTTGTCAATATCATCACATATCTACCTATAAAGAAAATTAGATTACATATAGTATTAAGCTGGAATAACATCAAGGACATATATAGTAAAAGTTACCCTTCCCACAAATGATAGTTTCTTTTCCTTCCAACTACCAAGGTGATAGTTCACTTTGTCAATAACAAATTGATACATACCTTTATGCACCTTTTTTCCCCAAATCATTTGTTCTTTGAAATCTAAAAACAATACTAATTTGGTTTTTCTCAATCCACCCAACATTGTTAGAGTAGAAAATATGGGTTTTCTCATTACTAACTTTTTCCTTGAGCTATTGCTGATTAATTTTAAACAAGTTTGCATAATCTCCACTTGGCCCATAAAGGCCTCAACAAAAAGAATAAAATCATCAGCAAAAGCCGGATGGGATAAAGGAGGCCACTCTAGACAATTTAATTGGTTTTCCAGAGATCATGAGCCACAACTAAGTCAATTATATGAAATAAATACTCCATACAAAGAATAAATAAGTAAGGGAATTAAGATTCCTTGTCTAATCCCTCTAACTGGTTGGAACCTCCCCCCCCCCC